GGGATGGAGGATTAAACAACTCACCTGGTAGAGCATGGCATAGCTCAAGCTGGCGGTTCCTCATCGCTATTTCTAGGACAGCAATGGTAAAACCTCCTTCCCTGGTGTAATTACGATGCTCTGGCTGTAGRTCGGGGGGATCAGCGAGATTAGCGAGATCAACATCAAGCTGTAGGGCAATTGCAAGGAAATCTGATGGTGTATACAACGGCCGATTGAGAACGTGAAGGCAGCTATTAGTTGCAGTCAGACCACAAAGATTGGCGAGGATCTCAGGCTGGTTTGGTTGGTCAGTCATTTGTAGATCACCCGTGGGGTCTGCGCACGGTGGTGCACAAGTATGCTGTTCATCCATATGATCCTGGTCAGCCATTTGCAAATCCCTCATGGGGTCTGCGCTATGTGGGATTAAATGCAGTCCAAGCAGATCATGTTCCAGTCCCTCAGCGTTCGGGGCCACACAGGGTGGGCCACAAGTATGCGGTTTATCCATATGATCCTGGTCAGCCATTTGCAAATCCCCCGTGTGGTCTGAGCTGATCATGTTCCAGGCCCTCAGCGTTCGGGGCCGCATGTTGTACAGCTGGGGGACAAACGAACATGGAAGGGCATAAAACATGATGCTGTGGCTGTGTGCAAGCAGCTGGACTGTCTGCAGGAGGCACAAAGAAAATTGGGGTAGATAAAGAAGCAGGCCGCTGATCCCTGGCCAGGTGGCGAAGTGGTGGATGTCGTCGACGATGATACACAATAAGAGGAGTGGCGATGTTTCTGACAAAAGATGAGGATGTCACTGGCAATGAAGGCGGAACAATGGGAAGATGAGAAACCGGAGAATCGGTTCTCAAABGAGACCGTGGAGGAGATGGGGGTGGCGAGGAGGAACGCAGTCGTTTGCGGCCAAGCACAGAAAGGGATGAAAGGGGGGGTGGATTGGGCAGGATGTCGGAACATAGGACGCGAGTGTAGGGCTGGGGTAGAGGAAGCTATACCAGTAAAAACTATAGCATGATAAATTCGAGCTACAGAAGCATAGGAAGTGGTAAAAAGTGGAAGCGAAGCAGAGACAACTGTTGTAGCAAGAACCGCAGTGGTAAAAAGTGAAACCGCAGCAGAGACAACTGTTGTAGCAGGAACCGCAGTGGTAAAAAGTGAAACCGCAGCAGAGGCAACTTCCGTAGCAGGGACCGCAGCGGAGGCAACTTCCGTAGCAGGAACTGCCGGAGTGAAACTCGGAGTTGAAAGAGCAGCAGTAGAAAATGCAGCAATGGAGACCACAGCGGTGGAAGCGGCGGCGGTGGGAACCGCAACAGTGAGAATTGCATTAGCAGCTGATGAACAAGCAGTGACAGGACGAGAGCGATGTGGGGATAAAGAAGAAAGTGGGTGAAGCAAGGATCATCGCAGCATGCGTCGGACCACTGAGAGAGACGGGTGACGTGTGTAGGATAGCGACGTTGGCGGGAGCGTGTGTAGCAGGTCCATCCTTTAGCGAGGGTTGGTGGGGAATGGCCACGAGAAAGCATGCGACGAGTGAGTGTTGTCGCTGCAGTTCGGAAGTCCTGCCAATTATTGCAGATGTGTTCAAATCTGGTCAATTGCCAAGTGAACACACCGGCCGGTTGATGGGAAGGGATGTTGGAGGTAGCACTTGRATAGCGAATAACAGGGAAATCACAAGTAGCCGCTTTATCAAACACGCTCATGCGAAGCGAACCATCAGAACGTACCCGTAGATGCATACCTAAAAAGGTACACGAGCCATCTGTAGCCGTGGTTTCCTTCCACTCGAGCCCATAGTGCTTTGAAGGAGAAGGTAATTGCCCCCATGAAAGAACATCATCAATGAGGCGATAAGTGAAGGCGTATCGTTGAGCAGCTTGGGGATCATGTTGACGAATGTCATCAATAAAGCGTGCTTCATCCCAATAGAGCGTTAGATTGGAGATTTCTGGGCCAACATTTGTTCCCATTGGAATACCAATGATTTGCTTTCGAAGAGTATCATCTCTAGTGTACAGAAAAGTGTTTTCTACAACAAAGCGAAGATGTTGGAGAATCTGAGAAACGGAAAGGTAGTCTGGTCCTGAATCGGTTGTCCATTGGCCAGAGCAAGGCCCGCGAATGAACATGTTCAAGGCTCTGCAACGCGAATGCATGCGGGTATGCTGAAGGGCATAAGCATGAGCTTCATCAACAACCTTTGCCACATTATTCAAAATGCGGTCATGAGGAAGGTTGGTGTACATTGTGGTGAAATCAATTGTGTGAGGAGAGAGGCCACGTAGAGAGGACGCATTGTTTTTCAGGTCAATCGCCACCTCATCGGCACTATGGACAATCTAGCACCGTCGAACACCTTCCTGTTGATAGAGCTCAGTGTCTTTCTCACGAAGAGTAGAGATCACGCCTTGCAAAGCAGTGCTGAGACAAGACGAAGTAGCCGTTGTGCTAGCCAAGGGTTTGTGAGGAGGCCGTTCATGAATGGTGCGAATTGAAGGACGAGAGCGACTGCGTGGGGGGACAGGACAAGTATTCTGTGTTGTGACTTCAAGAATGCTACGAAGAGCTGGAGGAGACGTGTGGGCTTTCAACACATAGTATAGGTAAGGCAGGGTATTAGTGTGGGTATAACCCCAATGGTGATTCCTTAGTGCATGGTGGTTGAGCACATCAGCAACGGATTCATGAGGACGAGTATAACTGGGACTGTCCAAATGGGTAGAGAGGTGAAACAAAKACCAATTCTTGCAACAAATTGCCAAATTGTGGGATGACTTGTCCACAGGGACAATGGCAAAGTGTTGTTGCAGATGGCGTAAGGAGGCATGTGCACAACGAAGTGAATGTTGCTGGCTCACATGATTAGAAGACGAAGTCGCATTGGATTGACAATGCCCAAGGATTGCAGAACGCGAGTTGTGCAATTCTTTAGAAAGGGACGAGAAAGAAGCAGATCGAGAGTGTCTAGCAAAAGTGTTCTTGTAACTGGCAATGTACTCATCGAGTCCGATCGCCAGTGCTTGGAGCACATCAGCAGTCTCCCCGTTCAAACGGTATTTAGAACCTTTTTGAAAAAGCTTGTGAAGGTTATCATTTGAGATGATATTGTAATCAACAGAGACAACATGACCGTCCACAAGATCTGAACAATGCGGAAAGGCCCTGCGGCATTCGCGGTTCAAGGAGTCTGGTACGGTCATGTCAGGAGCAACACTCGATGCGACATCAGTAAAGTTGCAAAATTGGACATGTGTGGGTGGCATAAACTTGTCACATACGCGAACATGTGCGGCCGCTTGMGGGTCAGGGTGCAATGCAGCTACTTTTGGCAACTGCAACACATGGCGCAAGTTTGTGGCACGAACTACCTCATGCACATGTACGATCTTAATATGGTCCGTAAATGGCTCTCGAGGTTGTGCTGTGTAACGTTGGCGGGTATAATGGGATTTTCGGATGAGGCATTCGAGTTCTCGAATGTCTGCTGTCCTCTGCGTAGATTGACTGAACGCAGAAACCCTTGAACTTTCGGCGATCATGTTTTTCACCTGATTTTTTGTTACTCATGTCAGCATTCTCACTTCTGATATCTCCAGCTGTTCTCACAAACAACCTTCTTCAACTTTCAGATGTCCGCATTGGAAACATTGTTATAAAGCCATTGCAAAAGACGTGCCCGCCACGCTGGTTGTGCCCGCTCAATGTCAGCCTTATTACGACACCAGGTACCCGAAGCAACTTCATTAAGAAGGCGATGGAGTGAGGTACGAATTATGAGTTGGGGACCTGGACGAAGATCAATAGCAAATGACTGAGGCGAACGCGTTGAGAGAAGAGGTAAACGCCAAGAGGGTGTTGGCAAAAGAGGTGCAACATGGGAGCCAACGGGTGTTGGCAAAGGGGTGCAACATGGAAGCCAACGGGTGTTGGCAAAAGGGGTGATGTGTGAGGAGGATTAGCTGATGCAAGAATAGGTGGAGCAGGTGAGGGTTGAGCAAAAGGGGATTGAGGAACGAACGTCTGAGGGCCCATTTGTGTCCATCGAGAAGGACGTAAATGYCGYYGTGGAGATGGCAATCTAGCCATTGGAAGGACTGCATTGAAACCGACTGGGTGAAGCGTTCGAAGTTTTCGAACCCAAAAACCCTCGCGGGGTGCAGCAGCCCTCCGAAAGAGGCCATGATCAACAAGACCTCCAGACGTATGATACAGGGTAGGATCGATGCATTCCAGGGGCTGAGCCGCAAAGTTGAATGCTGGTTGCCCACTCATTGTGCAGTAGAAATGGCGATGGTGAAAAGCAGCAGAAGAGTGTCGTTTATGCCAATGCCCTTGCAACCTTTGGTGTGCAGAATGCATCGTCTGTCCAACATAAAAACAACCAGAAGGTAAATGAACAATTGCATAAATCACTCCTCGAACAGTGAGGGGGTCTATACCTGGTTGAAGAGGTTGTTGATCAACACCTCGCAATTGTAACTCGAACCGCTCGGCCTGTACAACATTGTTAAGATGAGGGAGTTGTCTCTTGCGCCACCTTCCTGCAGAATACAAGTTAGTATTCCACCCCAAGTGTGCACGCGAATCTACACGATGAGAAACAGATGCCTGGCGGTTCGACATGTGAGCATAAGCAAACGGGACAGCGTGACCTAGAGGAAAGCTTGGTATAGGACCTTCCATGCCAACGGCAGGAAATCTCCCGAGAGGGCGGGGAAGTATCGGGACAGCCCCTTGATTATTTCTTAATTGCAAATTCATTGATTATGAAATAATTGTTTTTTTTTTCCTTATCTTCTTGTTTTTTTTTTTTGTTTTTTTTTTGTCAACTTTTCAATCCAAAGAAAGGAGGTGGGTGCATGAGGTGACAGGACTGTAGGCCCGACGGCTCAGGTCGGGATTCCTGCCGTCGTCCTTTTTGTTTGCTGTTCACAGTCAGCAACATTGTCAAAGAGGGAGCTTGGTGTACATGTGAAACTGCGTCTCCCAATGAGTGTGCAATCAGCATAAGTGTGCAACCAGCAGCAATGCCAAAAGCCTTACACGGATAGACCAACAGTGTCTACATAAAAAGATGTCACCAAGCAACTGACACATGCATGAGCCAGCGTAGAAGGATTATCCCAAAGAACAGGGAACAAGAGGTGAGTGGGCATGGAGGCAGCCTCCCGGGTCTGGCCAACCTTAGGCGGGCCGTAACTATACCCACTGCACGGGAAAGGGGTGCAACCCGTGCCCTCCTTAGGCGGGCCGTAACTATACCCACTGCACGGGAAAGGGGTGCAACCCGTGCCCTTGCGGTGACCGCCATCACAATCACATCATGCATTGAAGGAAAAAGTGTACATAACAGTTGTACACAATATGAACATGGTCACAATACCAAGCTTACCAAAAAAAAGACAAACAACCATGCAAAACTTTTGTAACAGCATCTGTGCTCATTTTTTGTTTTTATTCTTTGTTTCGCAAAGTGCGCTCTTTTAGTTTGTAGTGATGTGACAATATATCCTCTGATGTTGCTAGCCCTCTTCTCTCGCAGATTGAGCGGTGAGCATCGGGCCTGTACAACCAGGCACTCACTTTTTTTGTGGAAGACAATCTATTCTTTATCTTATCTCCTACATCTTTCTTTTTATGTTCCTTTTTCTCACCCCCTTCCTTGACGACTCTCCTGCCTCTTTCGCAGGAGTTGTATGCCTATTTGGTTGGTTTCATGGTGAACTTAGCTCCTCCATGGAGGAGGTTTGAGGTAAGGACGTAGGAATACCTAGTGTATCCTTGAATGAAATTACTGTAGTAGCTGGTAAGGCTTAGGAAGCTGCGAAGCTGCTTGGCGGATGTGGGGATGGGCCACTCGGCAATAGCGGTGATCTTCGCGTCGTCCATGTGGAGACCCTGGTCAGACACGTAGTGGGCAAAGCGACACTTGCTCAGCTTGGCGTAGAAGCCATGTCTGCGCAAGCGGTCAAGGTCGTCGCGGAGGTGTCTGAGATGCTCCTCAAGGGTTCGACTATTTACCAGGATATCGTCGAGGTAGACGAGAACGTACTGCTCCAGGATGTCCTTGAAGATGTCGTTCATCACCCTGTGGTAGGTAGCGGGTGTGTTGGTGAGGCCGAATGGCATCACTGTAAACTCATAGTGGCCAAAGCGTGATCGGAACACGGTCTTCGGCTGGTCCGATGCAGCGACGCGGATCTGATGGTAATCGCTACGAAGATCAATCTTTGCAAAGAAGCGGTTGCCTGCTAGGCGATCGAACAGCTCGTCGGAACGAAGCATGGGGTAACTGTTCTTAACCGTGTAGCGGTTGAGACCGCGATAGTCGATGCAGAGACAGAGAGTTCCATCCGCTTTGCGAGCAAAGAGGACAGGTGCACCCCACGGGGAGTTGTTGGGTTTAATGAAACCCAGTCTCAGGAGCTCCTCAAGCTGACTCTTGATTTCGGTGGCCTCGGGGATCGAGAGTCTATAGGGTGCCTGGTGGTGAATACGATAGTTAGGCACAAGTTGGATGGAGTGCTCAACGTCGCGCATCGGCGGGCTGCCGACGTACGAGAACGACGATGGGAAAACGTCAATGGTTCTCTCGAACGAGGTCACGAACTGCGGGCTCGAAATCAGCCGTATATCGTGCAAGTTCCTCAGCGTAAGCGTCAGCGCGCGACGACGGGGGGGACTCAACGGACGGCGGAGGGTGGGAAGTAGAGATGGGAGCCATGGAGATGGGAGGATCTGGCTCCAGAGGGATGAGCTTGGCGTCGGGACAGGGTGGATCATAGTGTAAGAGATCCGTAACGGTCACCATAAAGAAGGTGACGTCGTCCTGTAGGATGAAGTGAGCAAACTGCCGAGGCGAGGTGACAGTGATCGTAGGAGATAGTATGGGCACGGAAGGCTCCGGGGGAGGAGGATCGGGCGTGGTGTTGCGGTGGTACCTATGCAAGGTACGCAATACGTCTGTCCACACTTCGTTTTGAGAACGAGAGTGTTGGTCGCCCAATCGGCCTCGGTGCTGTGGAACCGACGAGACCACGGAGTACCGAGAATGAAATCGTACCCCGTCTCCACAACATCAAAATGTGCGGAGGAGCGGTGGCGACGAGACGCCAGGGGACGATCAGTAGGCTCGAGAGTGAGGAAGAAAGGGAGGTCGGTGACCGTCTGATCGAAGAACCGTTGGGTCTTGTCATTCCCTAGGGTGACGGAGATGGGAGTCGGAGACCTTGTCGTGGGTAAGTGGGCTTCTTTGACCACACGTGGGTGAATGAAGTCGCCTTGGGAATCGGAATCCCACAGCATTGAGTACACCCTCGTGGAGGTCCCAGTCGTACTAGAATGATCGGGAGGGTGCGATCAGGGTCAGAGAGGATGGTGAGAAGACGCAGTGCAGCGACATGGAGGGTGAGTCGCTCCTGACGAGCCTGGAGCATGCTCAAGTCCTGAAGAGGACACAACGTCCTCGCGAGTCGCAAGCTGCTCGCTGCAACGGGCTGAGCGAATGTCTCGACGCGTTGGTAGTCACGGCGGGGTAGGAGGGGAGGCAGTGGTCTGCGGAGGCGCAGAAGATACTGCGACAGAGGGCTGAGTACACTCTGTCGGGTCCTGCGATACCTCAACTCTAGTAGCGAGAGGAACAAACTGCGACGGGGATGTCAAGAAGCCGACTACTGAGGAGGGCATAGGTGTACACTGCACCGTGGCTAGGAGGCGCCGTGGGGGGACTGAGCACGACGCTGGCGGGAAAGATTGCGGCAGTGTAAGGGCACCGCGAGGGGGTATGACCGTCCTGGCGGGATCGCAAACACCCACGGTGGCCAATAATGGCCGCGCGCTCCTCAGCGGAAAGGACACCACGAGGAGAGATAAAGCCCTGAGGGAGGTCCTGCTGAGGGACCTCGGGGGGCGACGCGCCAACGTGACCGGAGCGGCTGCGTGCCTGGGAGAGGGTGGAGAGGATGAGCTGGAGGCGCTCGGCCATAGGGAGAGGAGAGCCGAGGTCGAGGTCGTCGCTTTGGTCACCCTCTGGCAACAGCGGGGCGACAGCGTCCTGCTCACCATACTCGAGCGTGCTGAAGCGGCGCGAGAAGTGGCGGCCCTGCTGCGCGGAACGGTGGGGGCGACCGAGGAAAGGGGAACGGTGCTGGGAAGTGCCGTGAGAGGAGGGGGCATAACCAGTACGCTGAGGCTGGGAGGAGGAAGTGTGTTGAAGACGGGCCCGCATCCGCTGATGGTCCTTGGCGGCCTCGTTAGCCTATGGGGCCGATGTGAACTCGTACCGACGTAACTCGGAGCGGTACTCGAGGGGAAGGCTGACCAAGAAACGATCGATAAGGGCAGCCTCGAGGAGGAAAGCGACATCATAAATGAGGCGGGCATCCTAAAAGACATGGATGTGGTGATCCCGGCCGGCAGCGCCACCAGAGCCGGACCAGTGTGTAGTGACGACACGCTCGAAGGCGTCAGTCACGTCATGTCAGGCTCCGAAGCGATCCTCGAGGAACGCCTGGAAATCCATGAACGTCGGAGTCCGACCCGCACGAAGGGAGTAAGCGTAGAAATCCTCCCAGTCGTCGAAAGGATCGCCACGCAGGCGCGTGGAGAGGTGAGCCACCCACGTGTTGGGTGGGGTGCCCATGAGCTGGAGAGTGCGGGTGGCAGATTGTAGCCACCGAGACATGCATATGCCTGTACCGTCATACAAGGCAATGTCCGTCAAGCGAACGACTGGTGCGCCACCGCTTTCGCGGCGCGGAGAGCGGGGAGCAGAGGCCTGCGCTACGGCCGAGTAAGTCGGCGTAGGTCCTGGAGAAAAGGGTGCAGCTGACTGTCCGCCTGGGCCGCATGGTGGAGCGACGGGGGGAACAACGGCAGGCTGCGAGGGAGCTGTGGTCGAAGAGGTTGCAACAACCGAGGGAGTAGAAAAGAGGTAGGATGGGGGTGGAGGGGGTGCGGGGCGGGGGAAGCGAGCCGGCAAGAATGGGAGAGCAGAGGAAGAAGGGTTTGCGCCCGAAGGCACGGCCACCTGTCAGGGTGGGGGTGGCTGAAGGTGTAAGAGGGCGATCGGCCCGGGTCTGGGCAAGCTCGTCCTCGAGACGTCGAACATAGATCGAGCGAGAAGTGGCAGGAGGAAGAGTGGGGGAAGTGGACGCACGAGCGGCGCGGGGCATCCCGCAAGGGGGAGAGCCAGGTGGCGTTGCGGTCGTGCAAAGGGGAGGGAGAAGCAGGGCACCCGGAAAAGTTGAGACCACGGTAGCGGGTTGTGGTCCCGTGGCCGTAGTGATCGGAATCTGGGCGGGTGCCCCTGTAGAGTGAGGGAGGGTCTGGCCCGTGGCGGCCGTCGCGCTAGGAGCTTGGACGGTTACCAGGATGATCGGGTCGAGGGCGACAGAGGAGGAAGCTCCGACGTGGCCACTATGGCGGAGGACGGGGGACCTGAACTAGGAGCCAGGAAAAGGGAGAGAGTGGGGACAGGAAGGACGACCAGCGTCATGGAGTTGCTGCAGGCCAGCAGCAAGAGTCACCATTTGCGCCTGTAAGGGCGCAAGGAGGGAGGTGATGAGGGTGTGCAGGTCCCCCTGGGGCCTTGGTCCGTCGGCACGGTCGAGGGCGACAGAGGAGGAAGCTTCGACGTGGCCACCATGGCGGAGGACGGGGGACCCGGACTAGGAGCCAGGAAAAGAGAGAGAGTGGGGAGAGGAAGGACGCCCAGCGTCATGGAGTTGCTGCAGGCCAGCAGCAAGAGCCACCATTTGCGCCTGTAAGGGCGCAAGGAGGGAGGTGATGAGGGTGTGCAGGTCCCCCTGGGGCCTTGGTCCGTCGGCACGGGTGTGGAGCCTGATCCCGACGTCGTCGCTGCCTCGGCGGCTTGTGACATGCCGTTGGCCATGGGGAGGTAACGGGCCGGACTAGAGAGGCCCAGAGGAGTTCCGCGTGAGCGGAGGGCGTAGGGGGAGGTCTACGATAGAAGGCGACGGGCGGCGTTAGTAAATCGAGCGTGGGCGCCGTTAAAGGGGGGGGGGGGGGGTTCGGATCCAGGGTGGCCGAATGAGAAGGGAAAGTAGGGGGGTTAGAAAAACCCTAAATCCTACAAAACCCCTTAGAAAACCCTAACCGGAGTTTGAGTGGTTAGGGTAGGGTACCCGTGACCTAATCAAGAAAATAAAATAGCAAGCATAGGGGGGGAAGGCGGGAGGAAAAATAAATAAACAGCGAAATTTCTAGAGAAAAATAAAAATAAATAAGGAAATAAATAAAAAAGAAAAATAATTGAAGAAGTAAGGAAACAAAATGTGAAGAGAGAAGTAATATTTTTTTTTTTGGAATTTTGGACAGCATTTCCCTACCCCCCAAGGGGTCAAGAATTTGCCAAGGGAAAGGAGAGACCAAGATAAGCAACACTAGGTTTCAAAATGCCGCAAAAAATAAAATAAAATAAAATCAGAAAATAAATAAAGAAATAATAAATAAATTAGAAGTGGG